TCCCTGCTCGGGTGCGTGTATACCCACTGCAGCCGTTCCTTCCCACCCCACAGCACGTGGGTGTTCATGCATGCATGTGTTGGTCTAGGAACCGTCATCCCACAGCAGCTTTGAAGTACATATACTTCACCCATTGCCAGCACAGATGTCACTGCTCTTTTCAAAGGAGAACACAGGCCTCTCCTGTGAAAGGGCGTATGTAAAATGTCTCTTCCACATCTCCGAGTCTGTTTGGCTCAAGCTCTGAAGCATGAGGTTTAATATTCCTTCATGTGTTGCCACTTCCAGCCAAAAGTGACCAGCAAGGTGCCATAGGGAGGCTAATCCTTATTCTGAGCCTGTGCTACACCACAAGACCCCTTTGCCACTGCTAATTACAGCCTAAACTCCACTTATCAAATGACCATGTATGTTTTTCAGGGGTGCCATACACTATCTGTTTGCTTGTTCCCTTAGTGGGTTTCCTGGTCATTCCAGGGAGCTGAGGAGCTCCTACTGTAGATCAGACTAATAATAAACCTGCACTAAAAGCAGCTGCATTGTGGAAGAACTTTAAACCTAAAAGAAAAGCAGGCAGGGACAGTTTTAACCACAATGTACTCTTTAATTGAAACCTGGGCTGGAATTGACCTGCCTGCCTTGTGAGACTGTGTGGGTTGGGTGGGGATTCAGTCTGCATTGTTAACCTATGCCTGTAATATTTACATAGACGTTTTTAGCCTCTGACAACACAAAAATTATTTCCGTGCAACCTTTGGCTAGGGCCACCCACGTGCCATGGGAGAGAGGAGGTCCTGGGAGTGCCTGCGTTCTCCAGCCAGCATCGTTTCTTCGTCTCGGTTCTCACGCTCCCGACAGGTAAAACAGTCACTGCGCAGCAGAGAGAAATACCTCAGGGAAGGTGTATTTTTAAATCAATCTCACCTTTCCCTTTGCCCTTCCCCAAGATAGAGCAACCTGGCTGAAGTCATGCAGATTCTCCTCTTTTCCTGTGCTTTCCTCTGAACTACATCTGCCTCAAGAGAGGCCCTGGTCTAAAAGTATTGCCTGAAACAGCCAGCTTTGAACTGCACTGGCAGAGCTGGGAAGGACTGACAGATAGACAGAGCAGAGTCTGCTGCAAGTCAGCACTGAAGTACCTTAGCAGATCAACTGGAAGCCCACTACCCTGAGACTGCCATTTTTTTCCGGGTTTCCAAAGCACCTGCCCAACACCTATTTCAGCTACAACTGTTACGTGTTGAGGATATGCTGCAGTATCACCTATTTCTGAGCCAGCAGAGCCTAGAAGAAAAGGCATGTCTTGTAAGAAAGTCTGCTCTAGTGAGGTCTCAGGGGCTGACTTGCCGAAACAGCTTGGGAAAATGAAGACTTCAGGTGCTGATTTTGTTGGCACCTCCTGAGCTTTCTCCCTGTTCATGGGGAATGTGGACCACAAGCTAAAGCAGAAGGTTTCCCAAACACAGCTGCTCATCTGCTTGGAGCAGGGGTGAGTGGTGGCTGTCCCAGCCCAGCAGCAGCTGTTTCTTATTACTGGGGCCAGATAACAACTTCCTCTTCTGTGTGTGCTCTGGTGGCTTAGCACTTGTGGGGCCTTAGCTGCTGCCTGCCCCTCTGTGCTCTCCCTGGTGACCAAGCTGTGTGTACACACAGCTGAAGGCAGGGTGCAAGGCTGATTTTTCTAGCTTCGATGCCAGGCCAGGGTTTCTGCTTTTGGCTCAGAAGAGAAGGGGCTAGGAGGAGAGGAAAGGGGCTGAGGGAGCTGCTGCTGTTTGCTTTTGGGCCAGGTGGCAGCTCAGCAGGCAGAGGAAGTGCTTTTCTTGCTCTTTGGCTCTCCCAGCTGCACTCACCAGAGCTAGGGAAATGGCAGAAAGCAGGGAGTGTTCAGCAGGCTGTGATAAAAGTAGTAGAGAGAGGAGGAAGAGGAGATAGGTCCTTGAAGTTTCTTACCGAGCACCCTGTCTGTTGTACTTTGGCTACCCGCTAAGGAGAAGCCCTCCTTGCAGATAACCCGGCTGGAGCGAGGCAGCAAGAAGGTGACACTGGTTAGCAGTATGCTGTGGTGAGGAGGTATATATCCGTAGGGCTGCAATATGCTAATGCCATTGCTCCAGAGAAGAATATTCCTTCATCTTGTTCATAGAGCAATTGTACAGCCATTTAGCTCTTCTGACTTGAGGGGGTTTGAGGGCAGAAGCAGGGAGTACTGGCAGGCTGATAAAGAGCATCAGGTCCTTTTCTGGTGTGTAGGACTGCCTGAACCCACCAGCCTGGACAGCTGGCAAAGCAGTGGCTGTGGGATGGGTAGAGGGGAGAGCAGCTGCACCTTATTCATCCCAGATGCAATGCAGTGCAATCGAACACACTGGTGAAACTTGCTTCCTGAGGTAGCATTTGCCAGGATGTGGTGCATGAAGTTGGCACAAGCCCAAGAGATTTAGGTGTGCGAGGAAACGTCACTGATGAGCCGTGCCATGTGTCGTGGTACAGTTTCTGTAGAGAATCCAGGCCACTTGAAACCAGAGGAGATCACCCCATTAGCTTAGTGAAGTTGGAGCCAGGGCCAGACAGTCACTGTGACTCTGTAATCTTCAAACATATTAATGGCACTGACAGGTTCCAGTAGTGCCGGTGCCCGGAAGTATGTAACAAGTGAATTCAAGTGGTGAGAGCCGCCCTTACTACCTGTGCTCTATTACACCTTCGTGGTGGGATCCGTGCTCCATCTTTCTGTGCTGTCTCCCAAAGTCCAGAGGTATTTATGGGTTTTTGCCAATAGATGGGATGGAAGAGCAAGAGATGCCTCCTCAATATTGATCTTTATATTGTTTGACAAAGGGACAACGGTGAACGTACGCTGAAGCGTTTAGCCTTCGAGTACATATGGAGCAAGAGAAGCTTACCAGCTCCTCCAGGCCAACATGGTTTTTCTTAGTTGATCTTATTTGATCTTTTAGAAAATTTTAGCCATACTTCCCATTCTGTCAGGCCAGAAACATGCATACAGTGAGAGGTTGCCCCTGGCTTGAAGAGTCTGTAACTTGTATGGACTAGGCAGATTCAGGGTAGGAAGGAAAGCAAAGCGAGAGAGAAGCAATAACGGACTTAGCGGTAGAGGAGAGTATTGGTGAAGTCAAAAGTGGATGGGCCTACAGTTTCCAGGTTACTGATTTTTTTTTTTTTCCCCTGGACTATACAGCTTCTGTTGTTTTTATGCAAGCAGAAAGATCTGTGGCGAGGAAGGAGAAACAGAAGCGCTCGTGCTGTAGAGGCAGGGTTAGTTCTGCTCCGAAGCTTTACATGAGGCATCAGCTCACCATCAAAGATGTCAGCTTCAAATAGAACTGTTCCAGGACACTTCCTTAGTGCCCCACAGCAGGCTGCGTTGGCTGTAACACAGAGCAGACCACTTGGAGTGGTTTGGAAGAGCAACAAACCGGCTGCCAGGAAACACGCCTTCGTTTTGTGGCAGGCTAGCAGAAAATGTGCACGGGGCTGCAGTTGTTTTGCATGTAAGAAGCACTGGGCATTTTGATGAACCACAGGAGAGAGGGAATGTGGTACCAAGGCTCAGCAAGCCTTAAAAGGACAGTCCTGAGATGGTCTGCTGACTACAAAGTCCCTAACAGATGGATTTTCATCAAAATCTATTTCCAAACTTGTCTGGGATGTGGGGAGCCAGCACAGGGGACGGGATCTTTTGTTGTCTCATATCATCCAGCTCTCAGAAGTAGAGGAGATAAGTGTCTTGCGTTCAACCTGTGGTTTCATGCTGCTGTTCTGTCACCTGTAGATCCAGTTTGAGGTGTCACTCATTCCTCAGGGGCTACTGCAACTCCTCTTGTGTCCGTTCAGCTATTTCTGCTGTTAAGCTCTCCACTGAATTAACAGCATGCCTTCTTGGGGGCGAGAGGATTTTGCTTGCTTTTTATTTTTGGAAAAGAAGAGGGGGAAAAAAAAAAGGTTTAAAAAAAACCAGAATGGGCTTATTCCACCAGTGTGTGTTACAGCCCAAATTGCCTGAGTGGGATTGTTAGCTCTGGGAGAGGGGCATGGCAGAGGAGGAATCGGGGTGGTAGACAGCAGCTTGGATAACTTGGAGTAACCTCTTGCACCAAATCATGTTCTGGTGGCAGCAAGGTCCAAGGTTATAAGAGGAGACATTTGATGTTTCCTTTTTCAGCCACTGTCTTCTCTTTCATGATGGACTTTATCTCTCAGAGGTCCTCTGGCGCTATGAGCTCTCTGAATGGAAAGCAAAACATTGCCGTAACCTGTTACTGCCTTTCCCTGCTCCTGGTTTGAGATGATCCAACAGCCACCTTTATAGTTTCACTACAAGTGTTTGCAATGACTCACTCCTCCCTATCGGAGTCACCCCATCACCAAACCCATCCGCTGCAGACAGGTCTCTCTCTGGGGTTGGCTTAGAGAGGAATGCCTTGTCCGCTCTGCAAAACGTTGGGTGTGCTCTACCTCCTTATCCCAGGAGCAGGCTGTTCTCCAGAGTAGTCTTCCTCACTGGTAGATGCAATCTCTCCTCTCAGCTGCCTTCCTGTGTCTTGATGAGCAGGCTCTGCAAACTGTCTTTTCTAGCATTCAGGGGCCACAATCTCCATCACCATTGCTGCTTTTGAATGATTATTGTTTAAAAGAACTTGCCTCTGGATTTGCTCCTAGATACTAAGGAATGGATATTGGGTAGTTTAGGTCAGTAGGTGTTGTTATGATTCAGCTAACGAGATGTGTTTTCACTGGAAAACTAGCAAGTGCGTGTCTGAGCCAACTTTAAGTGTTCTCTCCTCCTCTTGTTGAAGTGCTGGATTGCTCAGGACAAGGTGATGGATTTGAGATTTTTTTTTTTCTTTAACTTTTAAATAATGGCAACAGTTGTATTTTTCCCCATCTACTTACAGCCTTAAAGCTGAAAAACAGCTGAACCAAACTTTCCAGAAATATTAGGCAGAAACCAGAATGGCGAAATTCCAGCTGAGAAGGTTGAAGTTGAACTAAGATACTTTCAACGGAAGAAGGCCATTTGAGAATAGAAATGATTAGGTAGCCTTAATGAGAGCTGTCCATACATGCTTCTGTAATAGTAATGAGGGCGCAGGGTGGCCAAGGAGCGTTTTATAGGCACTCCAGGTACCCAAGGAGATGCCTAAACTCTTGTCACGTAGACAGGTCTTAACGATATATGACAGGATTGCACAACAGCTCTTCAGAAGTGGAGAAAACTGGCTCCTGTTGAAATTTCAAGTTCCCTTTAAATATGTAAAGGGAACTCTAATTACTCCAGCTGGAGTATGGCCTGGCCAGTAGGCTTAACATTTTGCCTGCTGTGAAAGTGTTAAAAGTGGGCAGGTCTCCACTTTGCAACTGGTGCAGGAGTAGGACCTCTCCTACGGCAAAGCTTTGCTCGGCCTTGTGCAAAGATGCAGAGTTCAACGTGGAAGGGGAATCATCTACTGAAATGCAAATGCCACCTCTGGTAGCGCAAGGTATTTTTGGCAGCTGTTTATTCAAGTGTTGACTCAGACTAGCTTTTGAGATCTGACAAGATCAAGAGCCCTAAAGGGCTATGGCCATGGGCATTAATAAAGCAATCTCATTAAGAGGTAATTAAGTCACATTTATTAAATTCCTAATTAAGAAGCCAACTGTAAGTTTGTTAGGTAAGGAATGCTCGGCTGGGATTATTCGCTTTCCACACCCTTGCAAAAGGTTAAAATGCGGAAAAAACAAAAAAATCCCCTACCCTCTGAAATATAATTTATCTTTTAGGTGCGGTGTCTGTGGATGAAGCACAGAATAGAGCCTCTGCCCAGCTGAGATGTACTGATTAACGACTAGGGGGACATTTCCAGAAAGTTGCCCTCTTTCTCCTGGAGAGCGATTGCACAGTGGGGGAGTGGGTGGTACCGCAGAAATAGCTCTGCCTACATGCTGTTCCTTGGGAACAAGAGAAATGCAAATATTAACATGAAAAGGGATCACTTATTCTCTGGTTGCTTTGCCGAGTTTCTTAGGCAGCCTGAGTTAAACTCAGCTCCACTGTAAACCCATAACTGTGCTGCTCTTCTAGCAGTTCTTCAAGTCTTAACTAAGATCAGAACCAGAGCTGAGTTGCTGGCTGGACAAAAGAGGAGTGGAGAAATGAGATATTTTACTGCTCCTGTTTCATAGAGGAGGGGAAAAAGAGGACCTAGGAGGAACTAATGGCACATCTAGGATGACTTAGAAGACCATAGCTGAAAAATTCCCTTAAACAAGTTGTTATTCTTCCTTCCTGTGTAGACTGGCTTGCCCTCTGTATGGGACACCATGATCTCCTCAGAAAAGCTTTCTGCTCTTGCTTCCCACTCACTTCAGCTGTTTTTTTGTGGAATCCAAAACCAGGTCTGTTTTCCTTTCGTCAAACTGCAAAAAAAACAAACAAACAAAAAAACAGCCCTGCATTGATTGGTATTTCCTGACTTGGGAACTAGGGAATCCAGAAGGAAAATCTGCCAGCTTTATCTTGTGGGGGTTTTTCCTTTTTTTTTCCCCCTCCCCCCTTTCTCTACAGAGAGGAGGATGGTGGGAGAGGGCTCCACCAGTGCAGAAGAACCTCTTGCGAGGGTGCGGTGATCCTGGCTGGTAAGGCCACACCTAGGGGAGTGGATGGTTCACAGCATTTTGCCAGAGGCTCTGGGGCAGACTTCTAGGTGGAGCGTTACAACCTTTCCCTTCCTGTTCCTCTTAGCTCCTGAGAGCAGTCGTGGAAACTGCTTGGCTACTCATCGGCCTCCCAGCCTCTGCTCCTTGCCTGAAAATGCTTTTGGAGTCCATCATTACGTGTTTTGCCACAGGGGTCCCCTCCTCTCTCTCCTTTATGTCCATCTCTCAGAAGAGAGATGGACACATTCACAGCTATAGACAGCTTGCATATTTGAACTGATTATAGACATCCTTGAAATTTGTTTTGTATTATTTGTCTGGTTCAAGCTCCTTTGTTTTCTAGAAGGAGATCCCAGCCCTGTCTCCACTGTGCCCACACGCGTACTAATGGCCTCATTTTTTTGCACGTCCCCTCGGTGAAATAGCTGGCTGCGAGCAGAGATTTGGCAGCAGGCTGTGGAAGGCATCGCCTGGGCTGAGCGCATGTCTCTTTATCCCCAGCATTTCATTGCAGCCAGCGCGTTTCAGCAGGGAGAGGGCATGATAAAGTGTTTGTTCTGTGAGCACTGCCGTCAAGGCAACAAAGAGGCTGATTGAGTTATTGGGAAGGTTAATAGTCTGGGGCGCTGGCTGAGGTCCAAGTTCAGCCACTGCTGAACTGAGCAGCTCAGGACAGTGGATTCCTGTTCAGGCTATTTAAATACCTGGCCTGGCTGGAAGGAATTGTTTCTTTCAGCAGTCCCAGAGGAGCATTTGGAAATAGGAGTGTGAGACTTCCAGACCAAAGGAGGGTTATTTTCCTTTCTGTGGCTGGAGAACCCATCCAGGGCTAACGCAGATCAAAATCCTAGCTCAAGGGTAAATGCGACAGGCGCGTTATGTACACAGCGATAAACAGTTTCTGGATGCTCTCTGTTCTTCTTTTGTCCCTTCAGCCTTGCCTAGTGCCTCTGTGTTTGCCCCTGATTCTGCCATTTCAGATTCCGTGACCTATAGCAGGATCTATAGGATTAATGATATTTTTAGCTAGAGCCAAGTCTGCTCCTTGCTCTCCTGAATCCAATAAACTGCTGTCATCAAGTTTAAGGCTGTCTTTGTCTGGCAAAATGTTGAGAGGCCCCTTGCTTCCAAAAACCTTGTACTGGCTGGGATTTAGAGATGGCCCTTGGCTCAGGGTGAAGCTCAGAAACATAGGGCTTTAGGCCATGTTTCCAGCTAGCTCTATGGTTTTCAGGATCTTTTACCCTTCGCTATTGTAGAGGATGCAGTTCAAGGGGGCTGGTTATGCTGCTTTGTCTTTACCTTGCCCCACTCGGGCAGTCTCAGCAGAGACCTGGATCATGGATTGGGATGTGACTGGTATTCAGAGTGGTGCTTTCTTAAATGTAGCCTGTCAGAGTCAGATTGGTGCCCTCAATGCCTACTTTCATTTCAGCCAAGCAGGAGAGCGGTTAGCACAGAGATGGGATCTCAGATGTGATCAGTCCCTTGACTGGCAACTGCTTAGAGTCAGAAATCGTTCTGAGTATCTGGAAGTGCTCCCAAAATACTCTGTCACTTATTGATTTAGGTCCATGGCTTGGTGGGAAGGGAGAGCCTCAGGTAGGAAGCAGAGTTGTTTTTGCCGTGGCATGAACACTGGCTAAAACAGAAGCCTCCCTTCACGTGGACATAAATTTATTAATCTGAATCTGTGCTGGCAGAAGTTGCTGGTCAGCTGTGTAGCTGTACCTTCACAAGCTCGTGCTCGCTTTTACATGCGAACAGTACAGTTTTTGCTTTCTCTCTTTTGTTTTCTCCACATGACTACTTTGATTTACAGAGATGCTCAGTCTGGCTATTGAGAGTCCTTTTCTCTACCCCCCTCCTCTTGCACCTCTCATAGACTAAGCCAAAATACTTGTCTACCGCAAGAGCTCAATGCCAGATTTTTTGTGTGGGCAGCCCTAACGCTGAGGAAGGGATAACAACACAGAAAACTGATGCTTCACTAAAAATAGGCCAGCTGCAGAAGGTAGAAACTGGTTCCTCATGTTGAAGCTAAAGGATAATTAATTGAGCAATTGGGATGAATTTGGAAAATGACTCTTGGTGAACCACATCCTTCCCACGCTCCGTGAATGCGTGTGCTCTGAGGGGCAGGAGGGTACAATTTTTAAGTGAGCGCAGCAGGGGTCAGAGGTGCTGTGTTTACAGTCGCTGGTGACTAAAGCTGTCTGTTGTTCGTTGTAAGAGGACAGAGCGTTATTGTCCATAGAACATGTTTGCAGTTTTTGAGATCTTCCTTTTTGAATGGGAAGATATCGATGCCGAGCTCAGTCTCAAGTGCAGCAGACAAAGTTAGTAGAGACAGGTGACTTGACAAGGTTTCTAGACCTGGCCTGCTCAGTGTGTTCCCCAGTTTTGAGCAAGCTGAAAGCGTCCTTGTCTGTTCTTCTGCTGCTCTTTGCCTGTCATGCCCGCTGTCGAGGGTCTATCCCTGTTCAGACAGTGGCAAGCACTCATTTTAGTGGGGTTATCAATGCCCTGAAATAGCAGACGCTATTGGTCTGGTCCAGTGCTGCTGAAAATAATTTGAACTGAATTCAGTGCTTGCGCTTTGGATCAAACCCTGAAACTTAACCCAGCTATACTATTGCATCTAATGAAAAACACTCCATGGTTTTATCTGTTGTCCTGTAGCCCGTGGTCTCTGCACATCTGTCTCTAAGTGTGGGATGTTCTCATCATTTTACTACAACAGATTATAGCAACTGATTCCTGAGGCAGCACCTGCTGTGTAATTATAGCTAGTAGACTGTAAGCTAGAAGCACCACAGTTGCCAACGTGGAGGAAAAAAACCTGTACCAGAAGAAAAAGCTGTTCCTGATGCCAGAGAACTGGAGGCTGTTGGAGGATTGGGAGCATACTGGGTGAGTCTGACATGCTCTTTTTGAAAGGAGAAAGATTCAAAGTGAGAGCAGGGGGAAGATGACCTAAAACGTTCCTCAGATGGAACAGCTTCACGCTGCTTATTTTGGTAGTGTTCCTCATTAATATGGTCATATATGTAACGGGATGACTGTGTGGAAGAGGGGCCCTGCTGCGAGGAGTTTGCCTTTCCCAGTTAGGCAGAAGCATAGCCAGGAATGGGAAGTGCAAGGGGCAGGGGAAGGAAGAGCTGTGAGAAGAGCCACGATGAGCGTGTTGCTTCTCGTGGAAGGGATCGCTGCAGCCATCTCATCTGGCCTCCTGCATAACACGAGCCTGTGTGAGTTGATGTCTAAATTGGAGCCTGCCTTCTAGAAAATCATCCAGCCTTGATTCAAGAATTGCCAGCGGAGGAGAATCCACCACCTCTTGTGCTAAGTTGCAAAGGTAATAAATCCCCTGGTTAAAAAGGTGTACCTCCTCACTAGTCTGGATTTCAGCACGTAGCCGCTTGATGCTGTTGCACCTTCATTGGTGATATTGAAAGGCCCTCTATTATGAGATGTAGCTGCATGTAGCCTGCTGCTAAGTCATCCCCAAACGCTCCATTTGACAGGCTAAAGGATGAGATGTGTCCAACAGAAACCAGTCACTACTCAAATAGCGTATCCTGTTTGTCAACACTGATAAATTAGGGAAGAAGGCTTGACATCTGAATGGTGGTGAAGTCCCTACAAATTTAATGAAACCACTGGATAGGCAGAAGGGAGGAATACGGATTAGTGCCCTTTCTGGGGAAGAGACCAGCAGAACTAAGTCATGGTGGCGTCCTAGCAGTGGGTTCGCCAATGAGCGGGGTGTGGGCTGGCCAGCTAGCACGTGTGCTAGGCAGCTGGTCAGCCTATGCTTTTAACAACAAGGCATTTTTTCTTACCTGGCGGGCATGAAACAGGAGAGCTGCACAGTTGTTACTGTGGAGGTCTCACAGTGAACACCGGATGCAGGTCCCTGGAAAGAAAGCTGCACTCGCTCTACCTTTCACAGAGCAGCTAGTTAGCTTAGACTGCAGCATTTCCTTCCCCTTTTGCTACTGGGCCATTCGAAAATGGGTTATAACCCTTGTTTTTGATTTCTTACAAGGTTTTAGAAATATCAACTTGGTCAAATTTATTATCCTCTAGGAGCGATTCTGACTCCCCTTGTTTATTTCCTGGTCTGTGCTTTGTTTTCTTTGGCCCTCGCTAATTTGCTTGTTGGCATCTTGATTCCATGAACGTACTAGACATGCAGGCTGGAAAAGACCTGGTAAAATCATGTAGTGCTTTCCTTTCTACAGAGGTAGTATCAAGCATATCTGGATCATCCCGTAGACCATCCTGACAAATATTTGTCTAAACCTGTTCCTGAAGGTCCTACCTGAAGAAGAGTCTACAATCTCTTTAAAGGTACTTACTGTAATGTGTAGCTAACTTTGTAGTTATGAAGGTTTATTGTACTGATTAACTGAAATTTAATTTATTATAAACGTAACCTATTATATTTTATTGTGTTCCAGATGGAGAACAGCTTGAACATTGTTCTTTATAAATGTTACATGTCTGAAGTCTTTTCTCATATATTCTTCAGTCTTTCCTGTGTGAGGCAGAACAAGCGTGTTCTTCCTAACTTTCCTGTTGGTCATGCTTTCTAAACTAGCAATATTATTCCTTTTCTTTTAACTAGCTCATATTTTGGGAAAGTGAGAGACTGGGGAAAGGTTAATATCTTGCTAAGGTAGAGCTCTGTAACTGCAGAAAAGCACTTTCCTACTGAGTCAGGCAAAACAGTTTAAGCCAGTATCAGGTGTCTCACAATGACCAGTAATGAATGGGAAAAATAAAAGAATTGAATTACTGAAAATAAATAAATACTGAAGTAAATACTGAAAATAAAAGTATCGATGTTACTCTGTAACGCTCT